TAATTGTTAACTAACGAAATTTTCTCGAACGACCGTCTTAATTGTAAGTGAAAAAAAATGTTTAAATAATGGTCGTAAAAATATTTCGCTTCGTAGAGCCTTTCTTACATACATACTTAACAAGATCTTGCCATAAAAGTTAAAAAAATATTAATAGTTTATTAAATATTGGCAAAAAACTAAATGCCATTTTTTTTTCATCTTTAATTGTCTATAACTTTTGCAATTTTTTATGTGCTAATACACGCTTTTAGCACATTTTTCTAGACGTCATTCCGGATATAATGAGCTATCGCACATAATTTTAAGAGCAGTATCTCTATTTTGTTCCATTTTCAACTTGTCGACTAGACTATTTATGAATTGCTGCATCAATAGACTATGTCATTTTGCCTAACATTCGTTTAATTATTATTTGGTATATTTTCTTATATATATGTTGTAGAATTTAGGGACAACTGTAATTATTGTTTTGTCACGTTTATTTTTGCGACGTGACACGAGAGGGAGCAATAGTGCTTAGCAAAGACAATTAAAGTTTACGTTTTTCTTTAATGTTAGTGCTCACTGACGGTAACACACAAAGTTTTAATTTGGAATATGACAACAAAAAAAAACTCATTTCGTGTCAAACGACTTTATTTCTTTGGTTTTTATCCTAAGAACTTACTGGAAATGGTCATAAGAGCAACGAAATATATCACAAATCATAGTTAGAATTTCTATACAAGCGTTATGGAAACAAACACGAAATAAATACTTTATAAAATTTATAATAACTAAAGAAACACTTGAGATTCCTAGCTTGACCAAATTGGTGACAAAATGGCCCAAAACGTGCGACCATATTGACACCAATATACCTGAGCTAGGTAAACAATACAACAGCTCATATTACTGTCAGTCCCTACATTTTTCCCAAAACCATTATCTGAACACCTCGTCACTTCTATATAATCTGAAACGGTCATAACTTACTATAAGCAACGAATAGCATGTTTTGTTACATTTAAAGTGATAATTAACAAAAATAGCTATGTATGGCCCATAGTACGTTTATCAAGACTGTTTTTGAATAATGACGAAACATGATTTTCCAGAAAAAGCTACTATATGCCGTTTCAATGTAAATTATCACTAACAAAACGAGGACTTTGATTTGATGAGCTGTTTCAACGATTATTAGGAACTGACAACATAAACATGATAATTATTATTCAAGCTAGCTTCACACTATTATTTTAATATTTTGTTTTTAATTATGTAATTTTTATAAGTATACAGAAGGTAAGGCTGGAGCTAGAATGTTCCATTTACAAGCAATGATTGCCCTATAAGATTTGATTTTCGCGATTATAGCCAAAAGCAGTTATATCTTCATACCGAAAAATGATAAGAGATTCGCGGCGGCACTTTCTCATTTAAAATTATAGTTCAATATATTAGGGTAATGCAAAGCTAGCTTGTCACAATCATATCAGAATAATTTTTAATTTACATTATTATGGTTAAGAGACGCGCTAACCTTAAGCCTAGATGTTATTTACAAAATCTCCCTTCGGGACCGTTATGTGTATTGTCAGAGACATCGTGCACTATCCAATATTAATTAAGACAGTCAATGGATTTAAATGAGTGTAATAATTCTAGTGTGATAGTCGCGTTAATAAATACTTGATTGCACAAAGGAATACACTAATATTGTCATAATTCGGATTGACACTTTTCCCTTTTTAATCTAATACTTTTCCCCCATACAGGTGGATATTTTTTAACACCACCCGGAGCGTAGGTAAGAACTAAGTTCTACTCAAACATTTTTAAAAAATGTACGGAAAAAGGTAAAATTGAGTAAAATTGAAGTAAAGGAATTAAAATGAACTCATGTTTCAGTACTTTACAATTTTCCAAGCGGTGTTAAAAATTATTACCTGTCAACTTCCAAATTAATAATCAATTCAATATAGGATTTGTAGATTTTTTTTAAATTAACATAACTAGTTCCATAGTAAAAATATAGCGTAATACAAATTAAGCATTAAATCAGGAAAGAAGTCAAACGCCACCATGCCAAGTGTGGTATAACCCTTTACCCATCACAGTAAAAATGGCAGATAACTCAATAGAAAAATCGGTGAGTACCAACTTCAACATAAAATTATTGTTTTGTATTCATAAATCAACGAAACGTCTTTCCACCTGTGACTGAGGGGCGTGTAAAGCTGCTACACCTGGTAAAAGTGTAAAAAATAAGTAAAAGACACACACACACACACATTTAAGAATATTTTGCATAATAAAACATCGAATAGGAAAGAAGAAGTGAAGTAAGGAATGCGTTTTCGAATTCAAAACTTGGAGCCACGTCATCGTATTTGGAACATATTGCAGTAATTAGTAGTTGTACTAATTGTTTTGAGTTATTAAATCTAAATATTAAGCCGAATTTACATTACGAAACTAGTGTTATGCATGTTGGAATGAGTTTCATGAAAATAGTTGCAGACGTGTGAAACTACTTTAACAAAAAATAATAGTGTCGTGAAATCAACAGTATCACCAACGACATGGCTTGTCAACATCAAAGCTTCATTTTGGATGCAGAAGTCGTGGTAAGATGTTAAAATATAAAATTCGAAAATTATATTTTTATCAACTGACCAACTTGGTTTGTATTTTGGTATTTAGCGCAGATCACTCAAACAACAGTCTGCCCTGTGCAAATGTTTGGAACTAGTTTCGTGTGCGTTTTCATGTAAAGTAGTTGGTGACATAGTTTTAAAAAAATATGCGCATGGCACGAAATTTATCCAGTGTGAAACCGAGCATGCATTATGAAACTTAAATTTAATAAATTTGATGAAATTTATGTAAAAACTAATTCACAAAGTTTCTAAGTATTCGGTAATGTATTCTCGAATACTTGACAGGGTATTTTTTTTATTAATTTTTTTATGCAGGCTTAGTACAAACTCGAAGCAATCCTATTAAACCTAGAAAAAATATGTACCCTGAGGTCGGGAGATCGAATCAAGGCTGGATATTTCTACGTTGGCACTGAAATCTCGCTCGTACGGTGAAGAAAAACATCGTGACGAAACTGGCTATAGCCCTTAAAATTGACATGTGTCATTCACAGAAAGCCCATCACCTACTTGCCTATTAGAATAACAAATGATAACTCAATAGATACAGAAATCCTAGGCCCAGACCAAGAGGTTTTAGCGCCACTGGTTTTTATAAAAATATAAATGCAACAATACTTTTCTTTAGCACTTGCAAGCTATCGTTTTTTGTCTGTAATCTATAAAATGCTTAGATCTACAAATATATTGGAAAACTGTTAACGAGACAATTCAGAGAAGTTGCGTTAATTACTATCTGTATATCCTTACCGATTTCTGGCTGTGAAGGCGCGGACGGGGGCTGCGCGTGCGCAGAGCGAGATCGGCGACCTCTGCGCCGATTCTGGCGACGGACGGACGCCAGTAGAGGCTGAGTGTCATCTACTGGCTCTACATCTACCGTACTAGAAAAATATAATTTCATTGATTTTTTGACTATTTAGTTTATTCAGTACAATAGTTCAGATTAAATTTTATTAGAATACATGCCCTCACTTTCAAACCATCACACAATATAGTCGAAATAGGTATTGCTAAGTTAATCATTTTTATTGATTTTTTCCTTTGGATTGAACCTTTTTATTATATATAATTTATGTTAGATGGATAACGTAATAAATGAATAAATAATCGTACTTACACTTCACTACTATTAATCTGCGCTTGAGGTGCTTCTACCTGTAAAAACCATTATTTTAATTATTCTTGTTAACTGCGGAATATAAAAAATCATCAATATAAACTACATAATAATTTTATCAATAAAATAAATTCGTATTTATTATAAAAGTATTGTTTTAAGTCGCTAGGCTAGTTAAATCGCTAGAGATTTCATTAATTCACAAAAAAATATTAATTTTAATTTTTAATTATTTCATACTAAGCATCCATCATAATCATCATCATAATGACGCAATAGTCAACAATTAATATATAATTAAGCACTTCATCGACTTCAAAACCCACAACAGTTTTCTATTCGGAAGGATAGAATAGATATATTTTTATTATTTCCAAAAAAAAATCAGTAAATTATTTATATTTATCGCTTTAATGAATTATATACAGTGTAAACCCTATATAACTACACTCAAGGGACTGCATATTTTGACGTTACAAAGAGTTGTCGTTAAATGGAACGGAGAAAAACCTATATTAGAAAAAGAAAAAGTTTATTTCAGACTAGTGTTAGCAATGACATAAAAATAGTTCTTATTTAAACGCTTATAGTCTTTTTTCTGTCGTCTTGCTGCACCTGACAGTTTGAGAGGAACTAAGAATATGATAACGTATTGATATCCATGTCTCGTACTAACAACAGTCTGTCTACACGTGCACGCAATCCCAATTTGTAAACAAAAGAACGGATTTTTTAGAAAGTTCGGTACGTACGATGCCGACAGTCGAATTTATAAAGGGCTAGGACAATAAAGCGACAAAAGAACGTACACAGCTCCACAGTTTTATCTAATTTCGGGAACTTTTTAGTACCTATTTATTTGTTGTCGTTATTGAGGGTGGGTATAATGTTATGTAGAGTGCATCATTGTATGAAAGACAAGGTAAACCAACCAAAGCCGAGGAATGTAGACGCTTTAGGTGGTTTGTCAGTTACGTGGAGTCCACTGTACTTGTAGTTTTTAAGTATGCTGTAATTACAGTCGACTCTCGATAATTTCTCTCAAACTGAAGGGACCAGAGATAAATTTCAAATTAGCAAGAGTTCAAAATTACAACAGTTAAACTTGCCACGAGGGATAGGGGGCTCATGTTAATATGGCGATCAAAATTCGTGATTATTGCTTCTATATTATTATTATATATATCAAAAATTAAATAGAATAATACAATTATTCGCAAATTTTTATTTCGAACAGAAGTCCGTTATCTTTTTTTGAGTAAGCGACTTCAGCCTATCATTGTCATGATGTCATGTCATCAAACATTAACATGATTTATTAACGTTTGAAAGAAGACTGAAATGCGAACTTGACCATATCTCATTTATGTAAACAAACGGCAGGTCCATCACTTCAAATTATTGAGAGCATCTCGCATTGATTTTATTCAATTTATCGAGTATTTTTCAAGGGATCCGAAAAAAAACACAAATTATCTAGAGATTCCAATTAATAAAATATTTTTTGCTAATTAAAATTGTACCTCAGCATTATTGGATTCTTGTTGTCGAGCCCTCAGTCGCGCGATGTACCGCGTTGCTCTCACGAAAGGGTTTTCCCGTTGTTCCTCAAATGTACCACCCTATGTTCATAATATTTCTCAATACAATATTTGAAATCATTAAATTTTGTGACAACTTCACTGTATGAAAGAGTACCTGGGTATCATTTCCCTCCTGGGAGTCTCCCACAAGTGGTTCCGTATCATCGGTATCGGAGTCAGGGTGAGGTCGTCGCCTTTCCCCAGCGGCAAACACGCGCCGCTTACAAACGGGACACACGCGGCGATTTTGAGTTAGCCACGGGTCGATGCACTTCGCGTGGTACGCTGGAATTTTAATTAAAAAGTAAGATACTTACTTCTTCATATATAATGAAACACTTACATATGAAGTAAGATTGTTGACCTTAATTCTAAACAGTATTAAAAATAGTGATGAAGCGACAGCATTCCTGCCAAAACGAACCCGACCTTGGAACGTTATATATACCGTGCAATTTCATTTTAAATAGTCATATTGGTAGATACATAGTGTCTATTTAAAATCATATAATTTTATTATAGACAAATTATTAAAAAAAAAACAACAAGGAAACAAAAAAGTATTATTCCGAACTATTTAAATATATTCAACTTAATCTTAATATATATAAATTACGTGTCACGTTGTTTGTCCGCTATGGACTCCTAAACTACCGAACCGATATCAATCAAATTTGCACACCGTGTGTAGTTAGTTTGATCTAACTTAAAAGATAAGATAGCTTACATCTCAATTTATACCCGCAATATTATTTTATTGCAAAATACTTGTTTATTATTTGATAGTCACAATTCTGACAGATGGCGCTGTGTAGAAAGTTACCACGTTTACATAAGCTACAATTTAATGGCATAACCACCAAAAAAAGCATGGTGGATTGGTGTTCTCCTGCCGTTTCTCTTGAACAGTTTACTACTATGTAATATAACAAAAATCTTAGCCACAGCAACGCTTGGCCGAGTCTACTAGTATGTATATATATATATATATATATTTCGCTTCGTTTATAATATCTGTGGTCTCAGATCAGACAGTGATAAGTACATTCATTCATATATCGAGTGTTTCATGTTTTAATAGTGCCTTCAAGATTTCTTAAAAATTTAATTGCTTGTCCTGAAAACCACCTCGAGTAGTTCCGACAAAGCCGCGTTACAGAGGCTCCGGGGTCGCTGTCGCATTCTACCGGGACCTCAACGGCATGTTACAGTCAAAAATCTACGGTGCAGTAGACACTACATAGAAGGAAGGAGATGGGCATGTCTTCTCATATTTACTCCCCGTCTTCTACCCCTAGGATTCGTCCTAAAGCGCTCCCTCTCTCGTTCTGCTGTCTCCTTCTGTAGCCTGACATGCTCACAGAAGGATACCACTGCATTTCATACTTCGTCACTGCCGACCATTTTTTGTACAACACAAGGCAAAGCAAGCAACCCACCACAGAACTAAGATTATGACGTAGCTGAGACCACTGCGGACAATCCTCCAACGTATAAATGTTATTTTCCTGCGAAGTATTGTTAATACATATTTTTACTCTATAACTCGAATTTCAAAACGGAGACTCCGTAAGTCGTAGTTGAAGTTGTTGACAAAATGAATTTTAGGGTTTGGGGCTTCAAATCTATTGATTTTGTCTTGTACACACACGTGCTATAAATACATTCTTGCATACAATCGAAAAATACACTTAGAAATCGTGCCTCTGTTGTCGAAATTTCAGCAGTTATCTATCTCGAACTTTTTGCTGTCGAAAACTCGTTAAGTCGATTGATTTTCATTTCGTTGATATTCGAGTTATCGAGATTCTACTGTAATAATTAAATGCGGTTTAATATGATATTTTTTTATGAAGTGTATACACAATGTTTATATAATGAGATTTTATGTACTTACCATGTGCACAAGGAAGTACTCGTAGCCTCTCCCCTTCCTGGTAATCATCAAGGCAAATAGCGCACGTGTCGTAAGGGTCCCCTTTGCTGAACTTGCAAGTAGGAATCTTTTTAAGCGAACGATTCGGAAGACGATGCCGGTTAGCTCGGCGCCGGTCTTTTATACATTTTACTATCTGAAAATTACTATGATTTAAACAAAATTATTCCATGTTAAACTCAGCATTTAAAGGTCTGGTTTGACAACAGTCACAAGCATGGCACTATCCGTGCGCCAACTATTTACGATTAATCGGCGGCTTTGGTATGAAATTTGGTATAAAAAACGTTTCAAAAGGAATGCCTTTGTTACAAGGGCGGATCAAGAATTCGTGTCACACAAATTTTTCAAGTTCAAAATATGAATAAGACCATTCATACACAAAGTATTCTTATAATGTCCTAGTATAATTATCGGTTTGGATAGTTTTATATAGAATCTATAAATATCCTCTCCCAAAAGCTATTTTGATACAATATCTATGAAAAATTTGCGATACAGCAATACTCCTAAAAATTTAACTCCTAGTCACAACTAAACCTTTGAATTAGTAACTGGTATATAATTAAAAAAAAATCATAAGAACCTATAATAATTTTAATTAATTTGTAGAAGAATAAAGTGGGGATTTTATCAACGATGGCTAAGCAATTCTTGATTTTCATAAAAGTTGTCATAGAAAAATGGGTCTAATTAAAAATTATAGCCGATAAATATAAAAATAATTACCATAAACACAAGTATGACTATCAAACACAACACAACCACTATCGCAAAGGGCAGAAGTAGGTGTGTGTTGATATTGAACGGAAGATCACCGTTCACCATTATATAGTACCTGAAAATTAAGTATAATTATTTCCAACATTAATTAAATTAAATATAAGTTTAATCATAATGAACTACACAAAACAATTTGTTACAAAAATAATGAAGGCTCAAACACAAAAAATTAAATAACATTGAAGTACATAAATAAATCCTTTATCAAATTAATAGAAAGAAAGAAATTTAAAAAGCGTTTAAATTTATAAGCATATAAGAAAAATATAAAAAGTTGTATATTATGTTATGTGTAGGCGAGTTATGCATTCAATAAAACATTTAAAACATAACAATGCGAATTTTACCCTCGAAGATGCGATTCGACTTATATGCGTTAGAAAAGGATTTTTTAAATTAAGTTTGTAGCAAAAAAGAGCTATTTAGGTCTAGAGGCAAAATCAATTTCATCCAGTATTCATTCTTAGAGTATATTCAGTTCAAAAGTAAAATCCTAATTAAAAGTAAAGCACCTCATAGATAATAGATTATGCAATAATATTAAAATGTTGTGCAACGCACGAAATCAAAATTACAAATTTATTGTGCAATTTCGAAAAATATTGCATATTCTATGGGTGATATTGTCGATTGGTTGGTTGTCAACTGTCACAGGCGAATGCTTTAATTAAAAGTAATAATAGACGTGCAGTCTTTGGTTAACGAGTACTAATAATAATAACGATCTAGTGGCGCTACAACCCTATATGGATTTTAAGTAAGTGATGGCCTCAGATTGCATCAGTTTCTTTGATAATTTTTATTTCATAGACAAGTAGGTGATCAGCCTTCTGTCTGACACATGTCGTCGATATTTGGGATCCAGGGATCAGAGTCGGAAGCCAAAGTCACTAGGCCACTGCTTTTACGAGTAATACAGATACCGGCAAACTTCTTGAGCATTAAACAAGGGAGTTGGGGAAAGTTTGCGCATCGCGGGACACATCACAAAAACGTCAACTGATTTACCAATCACTACAGACACGTCACTCTCCCGCTGCCGCGCACTACCAATCCCCCCCTTACAGTGATACCTAAAAATCGCTTCTGCGCAGTCAAGGATATTTGTTTAAGATGTTTGCCGGTGTCTATACGCATTTCATTACAACTTTAACGAGTATAAAGTAGATTGTCTATTCCGAGAGACTTTATTTACATAACAGATTTACAACTTAACTACCATATTTAGGTTTAAAGACTTTATTTCTCAAAAAAAAGACAAAAAAAAAAATGTCACTTACATGAGAATAATACTCTAGATAACATAACATATTTAAACATACTTTGCACTATAAGAACTTACAGGCCGACACAGCTCAAATCTAAAGGTCTTATGTTTTATAATTACCCTTACTGAGAATTTAACACTATTAGTATCAACATTTTCAACCAAAAGTCCTAACGGAACTGGCAAGTAATATTAAATATCTTAACACTGGCACAATATATATCTTTACACGATTTAATATCAAAACACGATCATCGCACTCTATTATAGTCTATGGAGAGTTTAACGATACGGGGCGTTGGCACTTCTGAGAATTTATCCCTCTATTCAAACGTGATTATGTAGTTTTTAATTAATTTTACTGTATTTTAACATACAAAAATAAGATTGTTATAATTACTCAAAATATTTTATGCGTATGAAATGAAATGGTTTGGATATAAAGGCGCTATTTGGTTCTAGTACAAACACACACAGGTACAAAAGGTATATAACGATGTGTGAGACCACCGGTGGTAAAAACTCACCGGTTAGTATAATTATACTCTTCGGATAAGATGATCCCAGCTACGTCACTCACGAATACCGAGGGGATATCTATTCCCATGGGATTACTCGCGGACATTGTCTCTGAAAAGTTTATTTTAATATATTTACACTAAAACAGATTTGGTGCCGTAACAGTGTTCTTAAAGAACAACTTATTATTCAAATTATTCGTATAATAGGATTGATAGCAAAGACAATTTCAAAAAAACAAATGTACAACGTTTTTAGTACCTATACCTATACATTACCAAGGATGTAATTTGTGTAATTTTATTAAATTACAGTCATATCGAGTGCATTGTTCGATAAAATTGCAATAGCCCATTATGACTACGAACGAACAATCATCAGTAATAGTTATTTACGTAAGGCAAAATAAATACAAATAATTTAAGAAAATAAAGAATAGTATCAGGGATTACTCAGTCAACGACAGCATGGTCAAGCAGTGACTATACTAAGTGTTTTAAAGTCGTAATTTTAAATTAAAAAATATATAATTAGGTTTAATAAATTTAAGCAAATAATGTATGCGGAGAACGGACGACCTAAATTGTTCCGCGCCTTGTTATTTCTTTACCCTCAAATCCCAAAATAACACACGATAATTGCAAGGGTAATAAAAAAAGGTAAATTTGGCCAACCTGGGATGTGATTGTAGGGCTCCATATATTTAAGATAGATGTAATATTACGTTTATGTAATATTTTCATTTTGTTTTTAGTATTGAATGTATTTTTTTAAACTCGTTAGTTAATAAAGAATGTCAAGAAATTTTTAATATGCCCTGGTGGTTGTTTTTCTGTACTTTTAGTGTATTTATAGTGTTTAAGCAATAACAAAAAATATATATAATTTAAGTTTAGTTGTCCTACACATATTATATAAACACAAATATATAGAAACTTGTTTAAAATATCAACTTACATAGATTTGTCGAGCCATGGTTTTCCCCTAACAGATATTAACGTGTATCATTAAGTGCATGCACTGAAGAACTGTTATCGGAGACTCCGATAGCTCATTACTCGGTTATTTACGTTTATTTATCTATATAATGTTTTATGTATTGTTTAAAATACAATTAATGTGCATCACCTAAAATACGTATTAAAAACATGTTTATTTAAAACTTTTAAAAACGGATGCGAGCCAAAATGTCCGAGATTTTTTAATTGTCTTCAAATGCCCAAAGGTTTACATTTAAATATTTATTTAATTTCTGTACAGCGAGTTATGAGTTCCGACCTTTATTTTCTAATAATACCTTCCAATTATATTCCACGTAACCTAGCTGTATATATGTACATTTGTTGTAACATAATCAGAGGAAGGACTAGGCAAATTGGTTAATTAAAAAAGAAAATAACATTTACCTAGGTCACTTGAGTTGACATTATGTACTATGACACAGTGGAAGCCAGCCGCCTGCGCATTGCGGACTTTTACTTCGAAACTGCAATTGTATCTGTAAACAAAACAATCATACTTAATAACATAATCATATACGTTCTTAATAATTATGTTATAAGGCACATTTTCCTGTGCACTACTACTTTATTGTACGAGTCTGCTTAGGGAGCGTTCAAGTATTACGTAACGAATTATGGGGGGAGGGGGTCCTTTTGTAAACGTTACGATGCGGGGCGGGGATTGAATTACGCGTTTAATTTTTAATATTATTTTCCACTTTCCAGTACTTTACACCACATAATGGTAACTTTTAGGTATAAAGAGTCCCTAGGTGGTCACGAAACGTTTTACTATACTGGGTACAGTACTGAACTTGGGTACATAAAAATGTTACGTCGCGTTACATGGGGGTCAATAATCTCCAAAAATTTTGTGACGTCATACTTGAATGCTCTCTTACAGTAAAAAATTACGCAAGGGCTAATTCAAGATAGGATTTTAAGGCTTAACCACCACCTTACCACCTTTAAGCCTGGCATGGCAGGGGTGTCTCGTCTGCTGGTTTGCCCACTGTATCATAAAAATAGTATGTACTTTATTACTTGTCGTGTCTCAAAGGTGTTTCGTGTCGTGTTTACTAAGCCTAATTGTAAAAATTAATTACGTTTTTCAAACTCACCTAGCAACTAGCACAATCCAGTTGCCAGTAAAGTTCTCGTCAATAGGTGGTTTGGTCATGACGCCGCAGCCATTAGCCGGTTCGCCCACCACGAGGAAGCCGCGGAGGCCCTCAGCCGGCAAATCCGGACCGAAACTAGCAGGCATGTCACGGAATTCATCTGCTATCTGTGAATTAGGAGAAATTATTTATTTAAAATTGTTTTTATTTACGCAACAAAGGACTTTTTTATCTGAATTTAAAGCTAGACTATAACTTCAAGAATTCGGGAATTAAGCCTTTTTACTTAAATGATGTCATATGATCAAAATATCATCGGTGTAAAATCTTATGGTATCGAGGATATTCAGTCAAAATATAAGTAACATCCTCTATTGTTATTCCACAATAATATTAGTCTATGGCATCTGAAGTAAGATTAATATAAGCTCGTAAGTAAAACCGTAGAATTTGGACACTTACAAGATGCTGAATGCCCATGATGTGCATAACTTTAATAGCATTTACAGCTATATGGAATCTCATTTTGTAGGGATTTCGACGCTTTACATTATAAACGTTCACTATTTCATCCGATTCCACTTTTACCAGGTCCACGCTCGGTTTCGGTATTCATAAAAGTCCTTTGATTGTATCTACGCGAAAACTAGACCTAATTGTTTTTAATTTAAAACATAATTTAATTTATTGCATGTGTAAGTTGGTTTTAACGTTTTATATGAATTTAACACAAGGTCCCATTTTTTTTACTAAATCGGTTTTAGTACTCTGCTTCGACTGAACTACCTACCGATGTCTCTTTTTATGACTGAGTAACTAGCCTTTAACAGAAAGGGACGAGTGTACATTTAATGTTCTATAAATGGGAATGTAAAGCTATTGTTTTGGATTAACAATTGATGTATAGTGTATTTGATTGATTTAATTATAAAAATCATATGTCTCTTCGGCATTTACGAATTAAAAAGATTAAACCTTGATATAAAGTACGTTAATAGGTAAAAAGCATTCACAAACCGTCTAACAGGTGTTCATGCATAACGGTTTTCATTTAACATCTGCACGAACGGAAGATATACAATCGAATAGTCAGTGCAATAGACTAAACAATAATAGGTAATGAAAAACTTAATCAGGGCTCTGTGAGTGTACGTGGAACTAAACGAAAACTAAAAATGTTCAAGTATTGTTCATGCTATACCAAAAGTACAGAAGGTTGCGTTCGTGTAGTCAGAAACTGACATATCGTACACGAGACATTGGGGAACACCATCGAAATTTCTCTTCAAAAGGTCGATTGTATAAGTTTTATGAGACATAGTTAAATTATTATATTGTTACAACATGCTATGCACACTACAATGAAAAGAAAATGGAAGCAGCCTGACAATTTTTTTTGTCAAATATCATGGCAACCACGTCAAATAACTTGCATTTAGAAAAAAAATAAAAAACAAAAAATAGTTTAACTCTAAGGTCACGTATAAAGATAATTATAAACTGTAAAATTTTCAATACAATAGCTTGTTCATGTCACTGTTTCCTACTTTGTAAAACTAGCAGAGCTACGAGATACTCTATAATCTAGTTCATAAAGAACAATCACTGATTCTAAATTAGTTGAAGTGATATTAAGCCGTGATCTCATTAACAGTTAACAGTGTAAATAACACTTGAATGTCGATCTATACATTTTAAGATCCTTGAACTTAAAAACCGTTTGTTTGTTACCACTTTATGTAAGCCTGGATAGCGATATGACATTGTCAGTTATGGGCTTGCAACTGTATTGTTTATTAAGCATAGTATTGTAGCTAGAGATTTTGCGAGCATTTAAGTATATGATTTGCTTGTATTTGGTATTGATAGGAATTAAATTGCGGATCAATACGACAAAATTTTCTTAATGAATAAAGGTCGTTGCTGCGTTTTTAAGCTAGAGGGGTTTAAATCTGTAAAAAAAAATCGCTTGCCCGTATTTGCTTCTGGGGATAATGGTCAATACTATTTAGATAACAAAAATCTATAAGGCAAACATCCAGGGTTCTGCATTATCACAGGAGGCATATGTAAAAATGTTAAAAATAACGTTCTACTAAATCATTTGCTCGTAGCTGAAATTGGGTCTATTTGATTTATTGAATACAAAAAAATTGGCAGACATTAACCATTACAGTTCGTTGAAGTAGCACGTTTTGCAAACGCGCATTTCGATTTTCAATTATACAAGCGCCTACACATTGAAATCACTCGAAATACTCCAAAAATCCAAATTGGAGTATTTTGGACGCTGACGCTTTACATAGCGGCCTTCTTCGTACAAGCGAACGTGCCAGAAAGGGAAAGCACCTTTGTGTCTGCCTTATTTATGCAATATAAACAACAGTCTATAGACTGTAGAACCGCCATACTGGTACAAATGACTATTTTGTGTCACTATCTCCCGGCCTATTAAGAAATGAGTAATGTATTTATTATATTTATTAATACATTTTCGTCTTTTCCCGCCCACCCCACGGATCGCCACTTTTTACGATACTGACATGAGGAGTCTGCTTCATCCACTTTCATGACATTCACCATTCATGCTCGTAGGTTATGTGTACTTAACCTGTCCCTTCTCTAGTACGTCCTAGATTTGGGTCCAGGTATGTACGACGAAGCCTTCCCGATCTGACCTCACCATCCACTGATGCTACTTGTGGTGACTGGTCGTAATTGACTTCGTGTATGCGGTGAGGTTATTTATTTCGACTATGTATTTGCGTGTTGTTCCCACGAGAATGTAACTGCGTGCTCCTATATCACCATGCCTCCTGCTGATAGAGGACAAATATTTGTTTATAATTTATTTTATTATTATTTATTACTTAAGATGTCATGTGGAACATGGTGTAATGGTTGCAGCTCCTTACAAATGTTGTGTAAAACCAAAAACTATGCGATTAAAAAGAGTGGCGGAGAGTTTATTGCCAGTTCTTCTCTTCCGTTCTACGCCCTTGATTTGAGAACTGGCAGTAAATGTAAAATTAGAAGCATTTATGTATATTTCTTTTTTCACGTTCATAAGTGTACATTGTGTTGCCTATATGAATAAATGATTTTTGACTTTGACTTGACTTTGACGGTTACCTTGTGCATATATGATACTTGTGAGCTGCATCTCATTCATCCTTTCAACATGGCCAAACCACCTAAGCATTCCCTTTCGTACACTAGGTCCTTTTTTATACATACTGTATTTATGAGTGATACAATATCCAAAACAAGTGCTCAATTTGGTATTAGTATCAGGGCAAAAAGTCCAAGTACATAACTGGAATCTCGTTTGCTCGAGTTATCAGAAGCGCTATATCGCCAAACTTCAAAGGAGATGGAAACATATAAGTATAAGAGCCCGGCCGATAGTTTAATAGATAGTACGCAAGTCGTATTATTGAAGTAAGGCACTACAAATCTATGAATTATGTTACTTAGGCATTGAAACGGATTATTAAGTCCTTCAAATAGTTCCAACTGTAATTCCTATGTACTAACTCCTCCCATCGGTCGGACTGTAAGCCTAGGGTCGTTAACAATACGAGGATCCGCTCCTATAATGTAACTAATTGATTTTTTTAGGCCTATATATGTTAGAACTAAAAATACAAAATATATTTCGATTTTGTCACTCGTAATTATTTGTAAGACCATTGCCTCATCAATTTTTATCAGCTCTATATAATGACGTTAACGGACGCCATTTTCACTTCCGTCGATATCTGTAGTGAATATTAAAAATATAAAAGGTCCGTAAACTGGTAAACTTAGTATATCTAAAAGGCCACAACACTAAACACCAACAGTTAACACCAAATCTTGACTACAATGCAACTATAAGGTGCTCGACAAGTCTTTATTTATCTATTGGAAATATTCCTCTGACAGATAAGATAGACATTCCTATATAAACATTGGGCTAAATTAGTTAAAGAAATCATAATATTTAATTTTATGTGCAAATAACATAGTAATATGACCACTGAATAGATGAAAACGTTGAATGGGCTTTAACATTTTGTACTAATTGACACTTTGATCAGTAATTCACACCAAAATACAATCTGTAAGGAATTGATAATTTTCCTGCTTTCCAAATAAAATAAGAATAATAACATTTTCATAAACTTTCTCCGTAGATCAAGTCACTTAACCACTGAATGGGAGAGATACGCAAGATGTAGATTTTTGGGTTTCCTCAAAATGTTTTCCTTCCTTGTGTTAATTGCGAACTTAAATAAATATCAAATAAATAAAGATAAATATCATATTCAGATAACCCCTAAGGGGTGGAAAGGCACCTAATCTCAGGCCAAAATTTACATTTATTTATACAAGGCCGATTATAAAATTCACTGAAAGAGTTAGTACTTGTTCACGTTGGAAAGCGCGGGCGCGGCGGCGGGTGCGGGCGCGGGCGTGTACGTTGCCGCCAGGCGTTTGCTCGAGTGTGACGTGTTGTCAGAGATTGTAAACATGAACGACGATCTTTTATTTTTAACCGAAAATTCATATCTAAAGTGAGAGATGATAAAAATTAAAATTGGTGTGCACGAAATTAATAAAGAAAGAGAACGGTAAGGTGAATTTCATACTTTATATAGTAATTTGAGAGACATCCTTCAAGATTTTTTTGGATATACCAGGATGACTGTCAACTGTTTTGATTACATATTGGATTCAGCACAAATAAACTCTTCTGTATTGAAAGACGTACTACCGTTTCTAGCAACAAGTTCAAACTAGTTGAACTTACCTGACGTCGCGAGTGAACCGCGTACTCCGCCGCTAGTTCGACGTGAACACACACAAATATCTCACGCGTTTGATATTGCCGCGAGCGGCACGCGCGCGCCAGTCGCTAGCTTGCCCGCTACTTAGACCGCACGAGCGTTCCGTATTCACGTGAACACTTGAATATTACGCCATATGTTTGATATTTCGTGACCGCGCCCGCCACCGCGCCCGCGAGTCAACGTGAACAAGTACTTAGGGCATGGTATGTATTGCCAAATGGATATACTAGTGAAATGAGAAATCACAAATTGCCGCTACCGTCAAGGCTGCATTGCAATAGAACGATGCAATATTGTAGGATCCATATTTTTATGTTTCCCTAAAGAGATACATGTTTTATTAGGGAGTTTACTTAGTGTAAGTTTTAGAGATTTAAATGATAAGTTTTAGGGACACATCACTAGGGAATTGTTAACGAAACACAGTAAGTAAATTTTCACAACATAATGAAAAACCAAAATTCAAATTCCAAATAATTAAAAACAAAATCGAATGGCTCCCTTAACAATCAAATTGCCCAACTGTAGGGGGGCCCCACGTTGGGAAACACTGCACTAGTCACACACACAAGTCTCGACTCTGAATGTCACCTTTAAGAGCTAATTCGTTTTAGATAAATTTTTAGAAATGACATGATGAAAAATTAAAGGCTTACTTGTTTAGATTTAATTGAATCATGTTTTAGGCTT